AACCAGGATGAAATATGAATAATTTTCATTATGGCTTTTTCTCATCTTTATCGTAAGGGGAAGTCTTGAATGAAATTTCCCCAAAAAGGAATTAAACCTCCTTTCTAATTTGGCATAAAAGAGTGATGTCATTTGTGCGTTGCAAGCTGAACTTTTATTAAATGGGAATAAATCCAATTCGTTGTGCATTCGTTATAATGTTCAAGCAATCTTGATATTTTTGTTGAATATATCTTACTATATTGAAAATTCATTCATTTGAACTGAATCTACCACCGGTTGGCGTAGTTGATTGCCAGTCGGGAACTGCATTCATTGTGGGCGTGCCTTCCTTCAGAATCTGCCTCTAGTTATGCATATCTAGCATCTACGTTGGCTAATGCGCTGGCTGACGTTTACGCTTAAGGCTGTAAGCAACTGAAATAGCGACAATTACAGCTGTTAAAATTTTTGACGTGGAAATCCAAGGCAGCCTTTCCACTAGCCTGGGTTAAAACATATCCGGGTTAAAAGTTATCCATTTCTGCGTCGCGTTCCCACTAACCCACTTGAAAAACGGATAAGTTTGAAAACGGGTCTCAAAGTGGGTCAGTTTTTACCCGGGTATCTTTTGACTCACCTGCGAGTTAATGGAAACGCCGAACCCGGATAACTTCTGACCCACTTGCAACAACAGCAACGTTTAAGAATTGAAATGGCGCCAAAAATCAAAAAACAAAATCCTGGATGTCGATGTTGCTTCCATTGGCCTACAACGATAGAAATTGAGAGATTTTTGATGGAAATACTGATTTCTCTTACAACTTTTCACCCTGGATACATTTAAACCCGGCTTAGTGGGAACGATCAAAAACAGATTAAAAGACGGGTCGAAGAAAAGTGCCGTTTCCATTGACTCACTTTAAAAACGGATAACTTTTAACCCGGGTATGTTTTAACCCACTCTGACCAAACAAGCAATTAAAATCTACTTTATAATACAGGTCCATACAAAGGGTGGGAATCGCTGAATGGTTGGAGAGAGACCATTTGAAAACTGCAGTGTTTTGTAAAAGTAGATGAACGAATTCATCCAGAAAAATATTTCTCGTAATTTGTTTGCTAAATTCTCGTTGAATATTTCTTGCAACTTTAAAAGAAGACTTTACTTTGGTCACAAAAAAATTTTCGTTATAGATCTCCTCGAAAAACTCTTCCATTTTAACAACAGCTAATCTCAGGGAACCCATAAATCACAAGCTCAATGATTTTTGCATGAGGCATCTCATAACGACATCTTGTTCACGGCATTAATCAGCTTTTGGCAAATTTATTCTTCGGTTTTGTTATGACGATGCATTTTTTAAAAAATTTCAATGAACATTGCAAATTATTTCAATTGAGATTTACAGAATGCTTAAGATTATAATTTTATATCTATGTAACTTTTTTTGTGATTTAGATAATCAATAATTCGTTGCATTTAATTTTTGATGATTGGTCTAAAGCTAAGAAATTTCTTATTCAACAATCTCCTTTCAACTCTTTAGTGCCAGGAACAATTTTTGTGCAAAGTTTGAGTACAAATGTTTATATGTCAACCCCCGGGGGGAGAGTAACTTAAATAGGTAGAGAACGGGGTTTTATCAGTTTGGCATACGAAGTGATACCCTAAAATATATAAATTTTCCAGAAAACCTATCCTCAAGTTAACATACCATTTGCAAGGCACACCCTCAAGCTAGATATTTATTTTCAACCTGAAAAAGGAACCCAAAAAATGGCACATCCTGTACCAGTATATTTGGAAGTAGCCCCTCCTCCTCCCCGGGTATTTGAAATAGTTAATATTCAGATAACAAAAGTATTTAATGTTAGATCTATGAACATTGACTAATACAAGTTCCCTGTACGTAAAATAGTAAACTTACGGTGCTACTTATGGTACAAATATCCATTTGAATGAGACTGCAATAGCAGGACAAGAGAATGACGAATGTACGGAAAGAAAAAGATTGGAATTGGAACATATTGGAGGCCAATAACAGTTGTTAAGACGTAACAATGAAATTGACATTTTGAGTAGTCCCTAAAATTTAGTCTTTATTTCCTTAATCTAGTAGAGTTTTTAGACCATTTTGACTTTTTTCAAGAAGCTTGAAAATTTGAACTTATTATGCAATAGAACCACCTTAAAATCTTAAAATCAACCTTCCACGCAACTAAGCACTCTTCTATAATCCTTCCACGCTTCTATAATCTTTCTTCGAAACAGTGTCTGCATTTCCAATCACCCATCTTCACCAATTTTTAACAAGGTCACAATAATATTTCCTGATAGTAGCTAATTCTCTTATAATAGTTCGTGGCCAGGGGCGTAACTTGGCCAATAGGTTTGGGGGGGTGAAAAGGGTTTCTGCCCTGCAAAACTGAATGGTGCCCTGCAGACCTCGTAGCAACGGTTTGTCTATAGGTTACTAGTGAAAGCTTTATCAGTGTACACTGGTCTTTACCAAGGACAAACTTCTAAGCAATAAAAACAAACTTGAAACTTCATTGCCTATGAAATTTCTATTTCTCTACGTGAGCGTAAATTGTTTTTTATATTCACTTCATTTAATGTTGGTTTGCAAAATTAAGCTAATAAACAGCTAATTAGGGGGAGGGTACATGATGTAGACAGCGCAACGAAATTTATCCCAGTGGGGCTAAGAGTCGAGTTTAGTGAGGTAGGAGGACCCACCATGGTTGGGTACGACGTGAAGAAATTTTTTGAAATTATACCTTGTAAAAGGGCTAAAAAGCATCTTTCAGACAAAAATTTAGCAAAATACTATTGTGCTAAAAGAACTGATTGTTTATTGAAAATATTATTGTTTGTTGGGAAAAATAGGGAGGGGGATGTCATGCTAAAACTCTAGTGTTAGACGTTGGGGAAGGAAAGAAACGGCAACCTTTCGTTTCAGATTACACGTAGTTGTGAATGACAGAGGAAGATGTTGTTTTGATTGGGAGAATTTTTTTTCCTGAACAGAAATGTGCAGTTTCTTGTATCAAGAAGGCCATGTTTACCTCATAAACATATGCATCAATCATTGCATCCATTGGCTATGACTTTCGGTAAGAAATGCTTTCGCTTTGCAAATAACGGAGCTTTTCCTTACATACCTGTTCCGTTCTCCAAAATGCAATGTCAGGAAGGGAGGTTCACAACAAATACGATATTTCCATTTCAAAATTCCTAAACGGCTCTTTACAAACTTTAGAGGTGGCATTTCTGCGTGGCAATAAAGCTCTTCTTGGCGCCCTGCGAAATCTTCGATTGCCCTGCGAAATCGACTATTTTTTGGATTGGGGGGTGTCACACCCCCCCCCCCACACCCCGCCCCCCGGTAGTTTCGCCCCTGATTGCCACCACTTCAATATTCACTTTGCGAACGTGAAAAAATTGGGCAATTACGAAAAATATAAATCTAGTTTTTATCCTCATTGCTTGCCCGAGTGGAACAAACTTGATCCTGAAATTAGATTTCTGTTGCTGTTTTCAAGACAAAGATACTATCTAAGATCCGATACTAAGATACAAAATCAGTATTTGGGATTCATGACCCGAAGGACCTGTCTCATCTTACTCAACTCAGGGTTGGTCTCAGCAAGTTAAACTTTCACAAATTTCAACACAACTTTAGAGATACAATAAACCCAAT